CTCATTCATTTTTAATTCCAATTTTCTCCCAAGAGAGGTGTAAGTTCTAGTTTTTGGGCTAAATTTCATTTTTAGTAGACGGTCATTTTTCGAAAAAGGTCTGTCATATAAGGTTTCTTTAATAATGGTCCACTAAATTATCACTTTAATCAAAACTCGTATAATATTCAACATAGTGTACTAAAAATGGCTACTAAAAACAATCACTTAGTAGACCACTTTTGATGACACTCTATATGATGAACCTTTTTCGGAAAATGACCAACATAGTGGATCATTTTGTAAATTTTGCCCTAGTTTTTGCATGATTGGTGCTCATGATCAATTCGAATGATTCAACATGACTAATTAGTTTTCATATACTCTACTGATTGCTGTTTGAGATCGAAATATTAGTTTTAGTGTAAGTTATTGATCTAAATTAAGATAGAAAGTTTATTTTGGAATATATAGAAATTGAAGTGATATAGTGATGCAGGAGTCATCGATGGCAAACCAACAAGAGGCAGAATGGTTGAAGTACTCCACCTTTTGGCCTGATCCTGACAACCCAAGTCACCATGGATNAAAACAACAACAACAACAACTTCATATATACACATCAACATATACACATACATAATCATTTAACTTTTTCATCTTTACTAGCTACCTAGCTACATGAAATTAAAGCCCCTTGCTCAAGTTGTTGCCTGACAAGCTTAAGTGAACCTAAAGGGGCCATATCATATGTCATGCTTTTCATCTTTTCTTTATGTTCTAGCTAGGGTTAGCTCTGAATGCTTCCCTCTCAAAACTATATCTTGGAAAAGCACATAAAAGAGGGAAAAAGAAAGTAAAAAAGCAAGAAAAGAGAAAAAGAAAAGCTGCTCGATCTCCTTGTCTGACAAGCACAAGAGGAAAGGAAAAAAACAAGCAAAGCAAAATTGTCCTGCATGAAAATCATCACCATCATGATTACTATATCATCTTTATTTATATGTTTATTCCTTATTTGTTTTATACATCTTTTTTTTTTTTTCCCCCATTTGTAGTTCTTTTTGTATAATTTGGTCGTTACAATGAAAGCAATACTACTAAAGATATTAAAAGCACCGTGGATCTTTTGTTTATTAGTTGTGATCGAGTAGCATCTTATATAATTTGGTAACTGTCTTTTTTCTCTTTACATGTAGCAGTGGAATAGTACCCACCGACTACAAAATTATGAATTGTTATATACAATTAATCTATGAGCGGAGTATGTTGCCTTACTGTAGCACTGCTTTTCAGAATGCAGTTTTGTCTTAAAGAGCTCAATTAATTGCATGACTTAAAGCTTGCAGACCCAAAGCATTAGGACAAAATAATACATTACCAAGGGAATTGTAAGGAAAATTGGGTGACTAATCCTCCAAACCAGCAGACCGCTTTATTGTACTTTTGAATAGTTAGCCATGTTCTCGAACAAAAAAAGGCAGCAGAGCGCGTTATTGTACTTTTGAATAGTTAGCCATGTTGTCGAACCAAAAAAGCACATGAAAAATTCTCTTCTCTCACCGTAATAATGGATTTCTTAATTCTTTGGAACTCTTATGATTGCATTGAAATTTAAGGGGAGTAATAAATTTGCATAACTCAATAACTAAAAAATACTCCCTCCTATTCTTATTATATGTCGTTTTGAGAAACAACACGTTAATTAAGAATTTTTTTTCTTGTCAATATTAACCCTATTTAATGGATGTTATGGGAAATGATGGATATTGGATATGAACAGATAGTGTGTATTAGATGGTTAAAAATAAAAAAAATATGAGCAAAATAGCCAAAACGACATTTATTTAATCAAAGATCAATTAAGCTAGAGTGACAAATAATAAAAATAGGAAGGAATAACTTTTATAAGAGCGACTCGTTCCTTTGTTCAGAACTCTTTCATTAAAATACGCATTTGCCAACAAGCAAATAAGAATTATTAGCCTAGAGAGAAAATATCAAAATCAATCCCATAATGAGGAATTGACGGCTTCGTCGTGAGCTCACGACGTAAAATCAAGTGTTTCGTTAGAGGCAACCTACATTTTTTGTTTTTGTTAAAAAAAAAGTAGCTAGAGTTCGTGCCGACCTGCTTACCAGTTTCCACTTGTTAGAGCTGAGCAAAAAAAAAAAGAGAGAGAGAGAGAATAAAAAATGAGTGAAATCGGTCGACAATTGTGCGTGAAGGTTTGGGTGAAAATTGGGTATTGAAAATCGTTGAAATATACCGAAGTGTGAAAATTCTGGCCCTGGACAAGTGCAAACCCGACATTTGTTTGTTATGTTTTGTAGTGTTTTTCGTGTGTTTTATGTGCGGTAGTCGTGTCTTTTTAGGTTCGTTTTAATGTCGATCGGTCCATTTTATCGTGTTTTATGTATTTTTGCTCTTGGTTTGTGTTTTTGTATTTTTCTGCATTTTCTCGTCTCTTTTGATGTTGATTAGGTACATTTTACCAAGTTTGGGAAGACGAGCAGACCGAGCCGTCCCAGCCGACCGAGTCATCCCGTGCCATGCGTCGTCCGCCAGTGCACAGCACCGCGCGCGCCCCGTGCCCTTGCGCGAGACGACTCGCGCCTTGCTCCCGCACTCGTTGCGGACGCCAAGTCTGACC